CTGGCACCATCCATTTAAATCGTATTGTGCTGTTTTCTGCGCTATAATCTACAGATCAGCCAGCTTGCTTCTCGGCAGCCCTTGAAAGAAAAAGCTATCGACAGCCTTGCCAGTGGTTGGTCCCTGTTGGCACTTGCTACCACCAGAATGTTTTCAAATGCTTTCATCTCTCACTGAGAATGAATATGGAGAGGGTTTTGACTTGACTTACACAAACTGGAAATTTCATACGATTCATTGTAACTTACTGATAAGTGTGATTGCCAACGGTAAAGTTGACATTTTGCAGACCTGTTGTAGGACAATATGCCATAATGATGTCGCGCGGAGTTGGCATGAAATCTAATGCATTGATGCGATCAAGATTCTCATAAAAGCTGCAAGTCGCTTAATACGAGATTATATTTTAGTAATTTCGAAACATTCTTGAGCACTGTCTTAGGACGTTTTGCTCTCTTTCTTCAGCGAGTATGCAAGTACCATTTTACTCTCGGAACGAGCAAGTTATAGTAAGACAGGCTATCCCACTGGTAGAATCGATTATTTGGCCTTTTGCACATCATTACCGCAATTTTCCATTGCACCGTCTATGCCAACTGCATGGCCACTATCAGCTCGAAATTTTGAGTCTCTGACATTGTCTGTTTTGAAGATACAGAACTGGCCCGAATCTGATCTTGGAACTACAAGTCGGAATTTTTTACAGTTCACTTCAAAAGTTACTTTCAAAAAAAGAAATTTAATGCTAAAACACAGAAAGGTATCTTGTCAAGCAACAGAGCAAAAGAGTGGAAAATCATGCGTTTTGTGCAAGAGCGCGAATCTGGACCGAAGATGTAAAAATCAAAAGTGTTTACTTAGAATGTGCCTTTTGCACTTTGTCAAAAAACGGGCACCTAATTGAATTGTTGGTACCTTTATTTTTTTATTAATTTTAGAAATGTCCAACAACGGAATTGTTTTTTTTGAAAAAGAACGAAAATAAAGTTAAAAAATATCTGATGAAAAATCCGCACTATTTCGTGGAGTCATTGAGATTATATTCGCCTCGCCTTGAGTACACTGCTTGTATTCCATCATCATTCCACAACGACTTCAGCGCTTGCAGCTGCACGTCATTAAAACGGCCACACATTTCATCCAATTCCTCTTTCACTAGTGCAGCATTTGCCTGAAACGGATAACAATTTTATATTTAGCCAAAGCACCGGACGCCAGGTAGGTGGGCCGGCATCTCACCGAAATATGCGTCAAACT